CTATGTCTCTGGCAAGTGTAGAAGCCCTACAGCAAAAACCTCTTAAAGAAAAAAAAGAATGAGGTAACCGTCACTACTCTTACCTGGCTTAACAGCTTAACTTCTGGACTCCTTCATCAATCATGCTCTAGGTTCTATTTACCTTCCTGCCCCCTCCTCTGGCTAAATTCATTTAATAGCCTACTTCTCCTCAACCCTCACCTTTCTGAGATGGAGTAAGGAAAAGGAAGAGAAAGAAAGGATATTTTTTAACAAGGTCTTGCCATGTTCCAATCCTCCTGTCCCGGTCTCCCAATTTGCTAGGATTGTAGGGATGCGCAAACATCCATATCCAGGTGGGCCCAGGGAAGGAAACCAAGATTCCCACGTGGTTTCCGGTCTTTCAAGTGGTGGCACTATCTATGCAGTACCATGGCTGGGTCATTAATACCCCATCTTATTATCACCTCTGACTAAAATGCTCTAAGTAAGAGCCATAAGGCCTAAAATGGAACAAACCTAACACAGTATGTTGTGGACACCATGCTTCTAATAGTAATTCTTCTATTAATGCTATCTAAGAACAAATCAGTCTAAGTGGTGAACCCTTCAAACCATGAGGTAAATTCTGGCATTTTGAAGAGTTACTATCAGAAATGGAAATTTATCAAATGCCAGGACCAGCAGTTAGCGTAGCGTAATGGCCATGTCGCTGGACTCCCATGTAGTCGACTGCAGTTCGAGTCCCGGACCTGGTGACTTAAATTCACACTGGGTGTGTGTACGTGCGTGCCCAAGACCCCGAGAGGAGAATAGAGGAGAAGGGATTGCAGTGTGGCCATCCCCACTGGGGGGTGATTTCTCGCTTTCTATCTCTCTGTCTCTGTCTGGCGAGCATATGCGTCCTATGGCAAAAACCTCTCCAAAAAAAAAAAGATGAAAAAAAGAGGGAACCAGCAGTTAGCGTAATGGCTATGTCGCTGGACTCCCACGTAGTCGACCGCGGTTCGCGTCCCGGACCCGGTGGCTTAAAACTCACGCCAGCCGCGTGTGCGTGCGTGCCCAGGATCCCGAGAGGAGAATGGAGGAGAAGGGATTGTGGCGTGACCATCCCCCCTGGGAGGTGATTTCTCACTTTCTGACTCTAATGTCTCTCTCTGTCTGTCTGGCGAGCGCACGCGCCCTATAGTGAAAATCTCTCCAAAAAAAAAAAAAAAAGATAAAACAAATGCCTTTTCAGCATATATAAAGACTATATAGTTATCCTATGATAAGATCCATTTTACTAATATAATTCCTAATGTTAAAACACTTCTAGGATAAACTCTATCTAATCATATCAGATGTCATTTTAGTATATAAATTATTAGTTAGAAAAGTTATGATGTATTTTTCTATGAAAAAATGTGTTGTAACTTTTTTAACGACCCATTATTTCCCAAGACTGAATTCAGAATTTGCATTTATCTTTCTCTATGAGAGCCTACTTCCTAAGGGTTCTTCTGTATGGGGGTTATTGTGTAGAACCAGTATAAGTATTAAGGGTTATACTCACTTCATGAATGAGCTGGATAGCTCTAAGTTATATAGATTTAAAATCAAAACTTTCATGTGTTGCTGCTTTAGCCCCAAACATCTACTTTACCAAGGTTAGTTTTTGTTTTCTTTTCAACCAATATGAGGGGGCCTTAACATTTATTTCTATAGCTGACCACAGGTATAAACTATCCTTATTCCTCTGCATTCTGAGGTCATTTCAGATTTTATGACCCAAGGCATGTGCCACATCTGTAGTTTCATGTCTTCATCAAGAACTGATAAACATGTCTGGTAAGGGAAGGCAGAAGGTAGACCCCTGTGGCATGCCAAGATAGCATCAACTCTTAAGTTAGCATATAATGCATGATCTTTCTACCTGTCATGAATCCTACTAACTGCAGCATTCACAACCTATCTTTTTCTAGTATATTCTATGAGACTTCACTGAAGAGTAAAATCTAGAAATACCAAATAAATCTAAGCATTCCACAGATCACAGATTCTTCACTCCAGTGAATGTTTCAAAATTATATTTTCATATTTTGTTTATCATATAAATTATATGATATTTCTATAAATTATAACCAAATTGTTTCAAAGGAGAATTCTGGGGATGGAAGGTAAGTGCTGAAAAACAAAATTCTTTCCTCATTTTTTGTTCTTCTTAAAAGGGGGGGGGGAGCAGTAGCTTAGTGTTTAAGGGAGTTGAGTATCACATGGCAAACTGTGGTACAAATCCTGGCCCCAACAGTCTCAAAAACACACCAGAGATGTGTATGTATGTCTAAAACGAGAAGATGGAATTGTGGTGTGACCACACCCATTGTGGAGTGCTTTCTACCTTTCCTTCCCTCTGTCTCTCTCTGAAAAGTGTATGTATCCTCTAGCAATTACCAAAAAAGATTTTTTAATTCATAAGTAATTATATACGTAAGAGAAAATATATCTCTTTAGTATGATGCATAAACCAGATCTAAAAATTTAAGTATTAGGGACCAGCAGGTGGCATAATGACTATGTTGCTAGATTCCCACATAGTTGGCCATGGTTTGAGTCCCGGACCCAGTGGCTTAAAACACACCAGGCACATGTGTGTGTGAGTGTGTGTGTGTGTGCTCAAAAACCCGAGGGGAGAATGGAGGAGAAGGGACTGTAGCATGGCCATCCTGGGGATGATTTCTCGCTTTCTGTCTCTGTCTCTCTGGTGAGTGCGTGCGCCCTACAGCAAACCTCTCATATATTAAGTTAAATATTGATATATTTATATATGATATATATTAATATAGCATATATTTATATATACATGTATAATACCACTGAAGAATGTAGCTCAAACAGCTTATTTTTTCAAAAAATTATTTATGCTATATATTTTTTTTTTGAGAGGTTTTTGCCATAGGGCGTGTGCGCTAGCTAGAAAGACAGAGAGACAGAGATAGAAAGCGAGAAAGCACCCCCAAGATAGAAAGCGAGAAATCACCCCACAGAGGGGATGGACACGCCGCAATCCCTTCTCCTCCATTCTCCTCTCAGGATCTTGGGCATGCCTGCATACGTGCCTGGCATGAGTTTAAGCCACTGGGTCCGGGCCTCGAACTGCAGTCGGCTGCATGGGAGTTCAGCGACATAGCCATTACGCTAACTGCTGGTCCTAAGCTATTTTATTTATCATTAGTATTTTTAAATTTGCTACAGGACACACTCTCTCACCAGACAGAAAGAAAGAGAGAGAGAGAAGGCAAGTTACTAGGTCCAACTTTTGAACTGCAGTTAAGTCATTTGGGAGTCCAACACTCTAACCACCACCTTACGTGCTGGTCCCTAAACAGTTTAATTCTTAAAAGTAACATAGGGGCCAACAAGTGGTATGGTGGTTAGGGCGCTGGACTCCTACATGGCTTACTGCAATTCGAGCCCTGGACCTAACAGCTTGAAAATTGTGCCAGATGGGACCAGCAATTAGTGTAATGGCTGTGTCGCTGGACTCTCACATAGTAGACCGTGGTTCGCATCCCAGACCCGGTGGCTTAAAACTCACGCCAGGCGCGTGTGTGGCCAAGATCCTGAGAGGAGAATGGAGAAGAAGGGATTGTGGCGTGACCATCCCCCCTGGGGGGTGATTTCTTGCGCTTTCTGTCTCTCTTTCTGGCGAGCGCACGCGCCCTATAGCAAAAACCTCTCCAAAAAAAAAAAAGGAAAGAAAATTGTGCCAGATGTGTGTGCATGTGTGCCCAAAGTCCTGAAAGTAGAATGGAGAAGGGACTGTAGTGTGGTCATCTGACCTGTGTGAGGTTAGCTCTCATTTTTCCTTTGTCTCTCTCTGGTGAGTGCCCATGCCCTGTGGTAAAAACCTGAAAAACAAACAAACTATAAAAAGTCATTTTAAAAGAACAGGAAGAAAAAAACATTTAAAAAAAAAAAAAGAAAAAGAATGCTGCAAGGACATTGCAACAATGTTTACCAAGACATTTCTGTAAATGTGTAGAATAGGCAAGTGTATAGAGATGAAAAGAGATAAATGACTTGACTAAAATTAGGATGTGAACGGGAATAAACTACAAGCAAACATGAAGGACATTTTTTAGATGTTGGAAACATTATACGACTAAATTATAACAATTGTATGACTCTATGAATTTGCTAAAATAATTGAGTTGTGCTATTATTATACTTAAAGAGAGCAAATTTTATGACATGCAAATTATACCTCAACAAAGCCACTAGGAAAAGCGAGTAAACTGAGAGGCCAAAGAGATGAGATTTGCAAACGCAAGTTTGAAACAAAGGGTTCATGGGCTGTCAAGAAACTGTTAAACTTCATATGGTCCAAAATCTTTCTATAAGGTAGACCCGTTTTCTAATACAGGTCAGTAATGGCGCCCGCCAATGAATCATAAAGAATACAGACTAGAATGTAGTTCCTTGTCACCTCTTGCCATGGAGAGGGAAGAAAGGAAAGGAAATAAGCTTTGTTGAGAAACTACCATGTGCCTGACAAAAAGGCTGTTTTATCATTACCTCACTGACATGTGACAGTAATACTGTAAGGTAGATTTTAACTCCCTTTCACATAAAAGAAAACAGAAGCTCAAATAAGTTAAATATGTCATCCAAGATCACAAAATGAACAAGCAATGGTGCCAGAAATGAAATCCCCACTTGTCAGATTACCAATTCCACACTCCATTCCTCCTATGTTAGTCTGAGATGTCAAATTTCCTTACAAATAGGTTCAAGAAAAAATAAAATATATAATATGAAATAAATACCTCAACCGCTCCCTTTCCAAAGATGTAAACATTCTCATCAAAATTTGCTTTCCTATAAACAATGTGTTTACTTGAAAATATTTCAGCTGAACAAAGGTGAACTAAAATAGCCTTCTATACTTACATACCTTCTCAAAAAATATTTACAAACCTATCCCAAGAACATTTAGCTGACAAGTGTAATGAACAATAGTGAACTATAGATTAACAAACCCTTTGGTTGGGCTGCTTTGTGTTTCTGACATAAAGATGCATTTCCTTTTGGCAGGAGGGTCTTCCTCTTCATCAGAAGAGCTTTCTATTGTTAGGTCAATAACATCCACCTTCTTCTTACTTGCCTCACTGGCTACAGTCACTGAACAAGGCTTACTGAGGACAGCGGAACCTGCGTTTAGGAAAACAGAAAGAAAAAAAATATCAAGGATATAACACAAACCCTAGCTGTAAGAGTCTTAACTCTGCAGTACATCCATGACAATATAAAGCCAGTAAAAACACATAGTTGGATCCCTGAATAACGGGGGTGTTAGTGACATTGACCCTCATGCAGTCAAAACTCCATGTGTAACATTAAAGGAAAGGAATATTTAAAAAAAAAAAAAAAAAGATGAGACCAACAGATGGCATGCTGGTTAAGGCACTGCACTCAGTTCAAGGCCATGGTCAATTGCAATTCAGGTCCCAGAACTAGCAGCTTGCTTTCTTACTTTCTCCCTCTCTCTCTGGCCAATTTTTTTTTTAAAATCATATATTGACAATAAGTTAAAAAAAACATCGGGACCAGCGGTTAGCATAATATGGCTATGTCGCTGAACTCCCATGTAGTCGACCGCAGTTTGAGTCCCAGACCAGGTGGCTTAAACTCACGCCGGGAGCGTGTGCGTGCGTGCCCAACATCCCAAGACAATGGAGGAGAAGAGATGACGGCATGGCCATCCCCCTTGGGAGGGGGGTGATTTCTCAGTTTCTGTCTCTCTGTTTGTTTGTCTCTGTCTTTCTGGCAAGCACACATGCCCTATAGCAAAAACCTCTCTCCTCAAAAAAAAAAAAAAAAAAAAGCAACTGGGCCAACAGATGGCATGGTTAAGGCTCTGGACTCCCACAAGGCTAATCTGGGTTTGATTCTCAGACCTGATGGCTTGTTTTCTTGTGTTCTTTCTCTCTCTCTCTCTGGTGACTGCACATGCCCTATAGCAAATTAAAAAAATAACGATAAATAAGATTATTTTTTAAAAAGAAAAAGACAAGGTCTGTTGCCCAGGTTGTCCTCAAACTTGTAATCCTCCTGCCTTAGCCTTCAAAGTACCTAGAACTATGGGTACATATTACTACACTCATCTCGAGTCGTTGGAAGTCATGAGGCATTTGGATAGAAAAACTTAGAAAAATATGTCATAACTTTTGTGATGACCCAATAGCTTCTGAACCTTGCAAAACATAACTACAAACACTATTAAAACAACTACTGTCGGGAACCAGCAGTTAGCGTAATGGCTATGTCGCTGGACTCCCACGTAGTCGACTGCGGTTCACATCCCGGACCCAGTGGCTTAAAACTCATGCTGGGCGCATGTGTGTGCGTGCCCAAGATCCCGAGAGGAGAATGGAGGAGAAGGGATTGTGGCGTGACCAACCCCCTGGGGGTGATTTCTCGCTTTCTGTCTCTATCCTCTTTCTGCCCACTTGCCCTATAGCAAAAAAAAAAAAAAAAAAAAAACTACTGTCAAGGCGGCAGGTGGCATGGTGGTTAGGGCACTGGACTCACACATGGCCAACAGCAGTTCAAGTGCTGAACCTGGTGGCTTCCTTTCTTACTTTCTCTCTCTCACTCTAGTTATTATTATTACTTCATTTGATAAAATTTAAATTTATATAATTAAATTTTATTTTAATTTCATAGTAAAATGAACAATGATGAATAAAATTAAATAACTTAAAAATCTTAAAACAACTGTTAACCAGAAGCTTTATGAATAACACAGTCAATTAACACATATTTTGGTTATTATATTAATTATATACTGTATACCTGCATAATGTTAGAAGAAAGTATTAAGAAAATCATAAGGGAAAGAAAATATATTTATAGTGCTGTACTGTATATTCCAACATATTTATTAAAAAAAAAAGTGCATGAAAAAAATGTGTTCAAGAATGAAGTATACTTTCTCCCACGGACAGAGACCAACTTGAGAGGTCTGACTTATAAACTGACTGCTTTTCTTGGGAGTTATTATGAACTCTAGTCTCTGACAGAGGGTCCAAAGTCTCCTTCCAAAGCATGTTCTTAGTTATCTTCCCAAGTCAGTAGTCACTGTACAGACAGACATCAGTAGTCAGGGAGTTGGTCCCAGTCCATGGAACAAGGGTACACGGCTGCTCCAGCTATGTATTATAAAGGACATGTGGCACAGTTAAGTCAAAATCAGATATGTCCATTCTAGCAATAATGCTCATATCAAAGAATACAAAGGAGTCTTACCATAAATCTAACTTGATAAAAATTTCACCTCTATAAGCTGAAAAACTCCCTTCTCATTTAAGTTATTCAGACATAAGTTTTTCTTATGCATTATCTGCTAATCAGGCCCTTTCTGCCTAAATTCATATACCATATAGTACCTCATATTTTCAAAGAAAAGTATATTATTTCCTATAATTCACTTAGTAAAAAATGAGTGTTAGCTGAAAATGAAAAAGCAGAAGGAATTAATCAATTAAATCACTATCCATTTTTCTCAAAGATGAGGAAGCCATGGTCACTGCAGCATTAGGTTCAGTACCAATCACAGGGGAATAACTCATATTGATATAAATCCTCTGATTTCCCCCTTTTCTTACTCTGAAAATTTACTATTCATTACATTATTAGAATTTCAAACATGGTCAAAACAAAATTCAAATGCAGTAAATAGACTGTATTTGATAAAAAGAAACTTCAGTTGACTTATGGTTCTCAACTACTCAAACTGCTCTAATTTGTCCCATTCAGTGTGGACAGGTACAGGAATTTAAAGGATGAGTATGCATTCTAGGTAACCAAGACAATAATAAAATTCCTTCCGACAAGAAATGGAGAAAACAATTTCTTCACTTTCTAAATAACTACCATGTGACTCTCTCCCCTTCCCCCCAGGCCCATTAATCCATGATGGAGCCTAACTACCTGAGCTTGGTATACCACCTACAGACACTCTAAAAACAATTCTAAAAAAAAAGTTCATAGAACTGTCATTTTTAACTTTTTTTTTTTTTTTTTTTTTTTGGAGAGAGATTTTCACTGTAGGGCGCGTGCGCTCGCCAGACAGACAGAGAGAGACATAGAGACAGAAAGCGAGAAATCACCCCCCAGGGGGGATGGTCACGCCGCAATCCCTTCTCCTCCATTCTCCTCTCGGGATCTTGGGCACGCACGTACACGCGCCCGGCGTGAGTTTTAAGCCACCGGGTCCAGGACACGAACCGCGGTCGACTACGTGGGAGTCCAGCGACATAGCCATTACGCTAACTGCTGGTTCCCTCATTTTTAACTTTTAACTTTGTAACAAGAACCATACATTAAAATGCCTTTAGGTTAGGGGCCAGCAGGTGGTGGATGATGCACTGAACTTCAACATGGATGATCACGGTTTGAGTCCTGGACCTGGTGGCTTACTTTCTCATTTGTCCTCTCTCCTGTCTGTCTCTCTCTGGTCAGCACATGTGCCCTACAGTAATTTAAATAATAATAATAATAAACAAATATTTTAAAAGTGATTTTAGGTTACTGTTTTATTTATTTTACATTGAAAAATATGTCAAGAAAAGGCTAGTAAGATGGTATAAACTTTAACCAGTTGTTAATAAAAATCATCTGGGTAGAAACTATATTACTGGGTTATCGGAAAAGTCATGACGTATTTTTTCATATTTTCCTGCACAAAAATGAGTCATGACTTTTTTATTTTTAGAGAGGTTTTTGCTATAGGGGCACGTGTGCTCACCAGAAAGATAGAGGCAGAGAGACAGAAAGCGAGAAATCACCCCCCAGGGGGCATGGCCACACCCCAATCCTCCTTCTCTATTCTCCTCTTGGGATCTTGGGCACACACGCATGAATTTAAGCCACTGGGTCTGGGATGCGAACCATGGTCGACTACATGGGAGTCCAGCGACATAGCCGTTATGCCAAATGCTGGTCCCAACTTTTCCAAGGACCCAATATGTTACAGATGATCAAAAGATAAAGTTAATAACCTGAACTCCAAATGTATTCTAGTGGCCAACACTAAGGATAAAGACAATGTTGCATGTCTTTTTTTATTACTCTCTACCACCATTCTATACATACTTTCTATTTTTGTACATGGTTGGCTGGATACTTTCATAGCTTCTTTCTTCGGTCTCATTGGACACCAAGAACCATCTTCTTGGAATTTGATCTCATCCACATCAGAACAATCATTGAGAATTTCCATAAAAAGCCTAGAAAACCAATTAAGAATGTACATACTTATAATCAATGCCTGTGTTCAAAGGTGAAATAAGAAATCAATACACATTACCTTAGAGGCAAAAGTAATGCAGGACCAGCAGATGGCATAGTGGTTACATCACTGGACTCCCACATGGCTGACCACAGTTCGAGTACCAGAACTGGAGGCTTCAAAATCATGCTGGGCATCTGTGTGTGCATGCCCAAAATACCAGGAAGAGAATAGAGAAGGAATTGCAGTGTGGCCATCCCCACAGGGGCAGTTTCTCGCTTTCCCTTTCACTGTGTCTTTCTTTCTCTCTGGTAAGCATATGTGTTCTAAGGCAAAAACCTCTAAAATAAATAAATAAATAAGTAAATGGTGATGCTACCTGACTTTTTTTTTTTCTAGGTATTTCAATACTTTGTACTATATAAATACTGTAACCTAGGTTTTAGATCTATACAGACTTTATTGAGTATCATCTACATTAGCAGTGGCTAGATAGAAAAAGACACCTGAAGTCTCCTAGTTAGGGCTAATAGTAAGAACAACCTCCAACAAAATATACATAAAACAAACATAAGCAGACAAAGGTTATTATACGATAAAATAATTTATAAGTTTTTAAAAATCCAGAGATAAGGACACTGGGCAGAGAGGAGAGAGGATTGGGGACATTAAAAAGTCTCAATAAATTTAAAATAACTCAAAGCAGATTATCAACTAGGGCCAAAATGGAATTTGAAGTCAATATCAGAAAACTTCTAGAAAATCTCCCAGTATCTGGAAACTAAACAAAACCCATGAAAAAGAGGAAAAATAAAAACAAAAATTAGAAAGTACTTGAAACTGAATGAAAAAAATATATAATAAAATTGGGGAACTATACCTCAATTAGAAAAATGTGTAAGACTCATCTTCCCTACTAGAAAAGAAGTCAGATCAGTAAACTTATTAACCGAGAGAAAGAACAAATTTAAGTGAAAATAAGAAAAGGGAAGTGACCAAGTACAGAACAGAAACAAATGAAAAAGAAGCAATGGAACTAAAAAAAAGCTGACTGGCTTTCTCCCTCCCTCCCTCCCTCCCTCCCTCCCTCCTTTTCTCTCTCTCTCTCTTCTTTCTTTTTCTGAGTGAAAAGGAAAGTGAGAAATCATCCACTGGGTGGATGGCCACACCATAATCCCTTCTCCTCCGTTCTTCTCCTGGGATCTTCAGCATGCACACACATGCACTCCAAGTGATATTTAAGTCACTAGGTCTGGGCCTTGAACCAAGGTCAGTCATGTGGAGTCCAGCGACTTAATCACTTTGCCACCAGCTGGCTCCAAAAGCTGGTTTTTTGAACAGATCAATAAAACTGACAAACTTCTGGTAAAACTTACCGAAGCTCACTAAGAAATAAATAGATAACCTGAGGAGCCCTAAATCTATTAAAGATATTAGATTTGAAATTAAAAACTTTGCCACAAACAAATTTCAGGCTCAAAAGTCTGCATAAGGAAATTCTAACATGTATCTGAGAAGAAATATCACAACTTGCCAATTCATTGTATAAGGCAGCATTACTCTCATTCTAAAATCAGACAAAGATGTTACCAGACAAACTACATACCAATAAAACAAATCCATTAACAGAAAGGATAACACATCATGATCTAATGAGATTTTAGCCTCAGAATACAAGATTAGTATACGATTCAACAGTTGATAAACATAATTAATTCTATTAACAGATTAGTCAATGTAAGAAGACGGAACAAAGACAAAGAGACAGAAAGCAAGAAATCACCCCCCACGGGGGATGGTCACACAGCAATCCCTTCTCCATTCTCCTCTTGGGATCTTGGGCATGCACGCACACAGTCCCGGCGTGAGTTTAGGCCACCAGGTCCGGGACTCGAACTGCAGTCAACTACATGGGAGTCCAGCGACACAGCCATTACACCAACTGCTGGTCCCCACAGTTCTTATATCTCAATAAGGCAGAAAAAAATAGGTAGAAGAGAGTGACCAGTAGATGGCGTAATGAATTCTCATGTAGTTGATCTCAGTTTGAGTCCCGAATCCAGCAGCTTGAAACTCACGTTGTGTGTGTGCATGCCCAAGATCCCAAAATGAGAATGGAGGAAAAGGGACTACAGTGTGGCCATTCCCTAGGGGGTAGGGGGTTGTGATTTCTTGCTTTCTGTCTGTCTCTAAGTCAGTGCACACCCCCATAGCAAAAATCTCTCAAAAAAAAAAAAAGAAAGAAAGAAAAAGTGCCACCTCATGAGAAGATGTTTATTTTCCCCTATTTATATCAAAAACTTGGTATAATTCCAATAAAAATCTCCAAGAACTGTTCTGTGCAATCTGAGAATACTTTTATTTAAGTGAATATAGCAGAATATACTGGATCATTGGAAGTCATGATACATTTTTCTGTGTTTTTCTACACAAAAATGCATGATGACTTGGGGACCAGCAGAAGACATAATGGTTACGTGGCTGGACTCCCACAAGGTCAACTGCAGTTCGAGTCCTGGGCCCAGGTGGCTTAAAATTCCCTCTGGGCACATGTGCGTGCCTGCCTGAAATACCCCCTAGGGGGCGATTTCTCACTTTCTGTCTCTCTGTTTCTCTCTTTCAGGTGAGTGCACATGCCCTATATAGCAAAAACTCTCCAAAAATAAAGAAAATAAAATAAAGAAAAAAATTAGCATACAATACTGGATTGTTGGAAAGGTCATAATGCATTTTTTAATGGAAAAATAAGTCATGACTTTTCTGATGACCCAATAGAAATCAAATAACTAGTTTTGTACTATCTTACTACTACTGATAAATGGAACAAGCAGTACTTCAGAAATTAACATTAGTATGTACAGATAATGCACATATCTCAGGCCTATGGAAGAGATTATTCACTAAATGTTGAGATTACCAATAATCTAAGTAGTAAGAGTTGGGTGATCCCTACATTAATAAATAAATCCCTGCTCCCTAAATTTTTACTCACAGTGCTGGTTTTTTTTACCTTCATAGCCCTCCTTAACAATTAAGATACATTTTTTACTAACTCCTACACTAGAAGTATTAGTCATGGTTTTAGACCCAGTATCTGATACCTAACCATACATCATAGGTATTCAATAAGTATTATGGTGAATAAATTTATGAAGGGACACATGAGAAAACCGAGTACTGTATAACTGAAAAAAAAAATAAAAAAAACAACAACATCATCATTAGGGCCAGCCTCATAGCCTACAGTTAAGGGAGCTGGATCCCTCAGTGTCCAACAGTGGTTCAAATCTTGGCTCCAACAGCTTGAAAAATACACCAGGCATGTGTGCAGGTCTATCCCAAATCCCCAGAGGATGGAGTGACAGAGAAAAGGACTGTGGTGCGACTACACCCCACTTGAGGAAGTAGGGGGGTACGCTCTCTCCTCTCTCCCTGTCTCTCTCTGGCAAGCACATATGCTCTCTGGCCATTAAAGAAAAATTTATCTGATGAAAAACAGGTGACGCTTTATCTAAAATCTCCACAATTTTCTAAATACATTGCAAGTAGATATTCAAAAAAGAAAAGACAGACTTAGTGAAATAAAAAGGTAAATCTTCTAAATGAAAAAAGTTACAATAAATACAATTAAAAGGCAAACAAGCTGGGAAAATATATTTGGCACATGCAGACAAAGAAATTAATATCCTCAATAGATAATGACCACTTTTATAAATCAATATAACGAACCCAGAGAAAAATGAAATAAAAGGGGAGGGAACAGCAGGTGGCATGGTAGTTAAGGCAGTGGACTCCCACATGGCCAACCATGTTTGAGTCCTGGACCTAGCAGCTTGAAAACTATGCCAGCACATGTACATGTATGCCTGAAAGCCCAAGAAGTAAAGTAGGGAGAAGAGAATGCAGCTGGGGCCAGTAGGTGGTGTAGTGGTTATACTATTGTACTCCCATATGGCTGACCACAGTCCAAGTCCTAGACTTGGTGGCTTGAAATTCACACCAAGTGTCTTTGTATACATGCCCAAGATCCCGGGAGGAAAATGAAGAAAAGGGGATTACGGTGTGGCCATCCCCCTTGGAGGGTAATTTCTCACTTTCCCTCTCACTGTTTTTTTTTCTCTCTCTCTCTGGTAAGTGCACACATCCTAAGGCAAAAACCTTTTTTTTTTTTAAAAAAAAAAAAAAAGAAAGATAGAAAACCAAACAAACAAGAGAGAGACTACATACAGCATGGCCATCCCCGCAAGAGGTTGATTTCTCACTCTCTCTCTCTCCAGCGAATGTACATGCCCTACGGCAAACACTCAAAAAAAGAAAAGGGAGGATTGAGAGGCAATCTGGAAAAAGACTAACCATATTGAGTAAAAGCATATCTGATAATTTTTTATAATACAAAAGAAGAAATCAAAACAATGGCTTTTCTTTTATAATCAGAAAATTGGTAGAATAAAAATAAGATTTAATATGTAAGACCTGCAAGAGGATTGAGAAGTGGGCAATAGCTGTTAGCAGGAAGAGTAAAATGATACAGCAGGAAAAGCTTATTCCTACTAGGAACACCTTAATGATGAATACCAAAAGTTTTAAAGTTACATGATTTCTTTGATTTAGTACTTCTATTTCTAAGGACTTATGTTATAGAAAACTACAAAGACATATACAAAATGACAACTTCAAAAATATTCATATCAGGACTAGTGGGTGGCATGGTGGTTAAGGTACTGGACTCCCACATGGGGAACCATGGTTTGAATACCGGACCTGGTGGCTTGCTTCCTCTTTCTCTCTCTGTCTCTCTTTCTCTCTCTCTGATCAAACTGAAGAAGAAGAAATAAAATTAAGTAAAATAATTAAAAAGAGAAGTTCATATCATAGGGCAATTTAAAATAGAAAAAGTGGGACCCAGCAGGTGGCGTGGTAGTTGAGGCACTGGACTTCCACATGGCCGACCGTAGTTTGAGTCCTGAATCTTAACAGCTCACTCTCTCTGGTGAGTGCAGGTGCCATATAATTTTTTTTTAAAAATAATAATAATGAAAAATTAAATAATTATTTTTTAAAAATAGAAAAATCAGAAATAATCAAAATATCTAGTATTTAGTAAACACATGCTAAAACATTAACAGGTAAAGGAGGAATAAGATTGTATGCAACTCTTAAAAAGGTTCAAAAGAATTCTACAAATAGTAGTAATCATCTTCTCTCGACACAATATACCAAAAATGTATACATATATATGTTGAGAAAATATGTGAAAATACAATTATGGCAGAATGCTAATACATTCATTATAAGATACATGGAGGCTCTCTGTGCTACTGATGCACTTTCTCTGTAAATCAAAACTTATTTCAAAAAAGCTAAAACTATTACAAAAATTAAAACCTAGTAAAACAGTTTAGGGAGAAAGCTGAATATCCCCATTCACTCTTCACTGCCTCATTTTCTCTCCACAGTAATGGTCTTCTGAAAAAAAATTTGTCCGTTATCCAAGTTATTTTAAAGATCTAGAATATTTTTGCTATATAATGAATGAAAGTCTTATGTACAAGTCATTAATAAAGTATGGCTTCAAGTTTTTTAATATGTCAATAAGTCATCAGCAATAGAATGGCATTGTTGACAATTTTAATCTTTTCATTAATTTTATTCTCTAAATTTTACAATGGCGCATGAGTAACATGCAATTTTAAAAGAAGTGTTATTTGGGGAACCAGCAGTTAGCTTAATGGCTATGTCGCAGGACTCCCATGTAGTCGACCGCAGTTTGTGTCCCGGACCCGGTGGCTTAAAACTCACGCCGGGCACATGTGCGTGCGTGCCCAAGATCCCGAGAGGAGAACGGAGGAGAAGGGATTGCGGCGTGACCATCCCCCCTGGGGGGTGATTTCTCACTTTCTGTCTCTATGTCCCTCTCTGTCTGTTTGGCGAGCGCACGTGCCTATAGCGAAAAACCTCCCCCCCAAAAAAGAAGTGTTATTTGAAAAAAAAAGCATGCCTTACTTATTAAAATTATAATACGAAAGACAATACTTAACAGTTTGGTCTCCAGAGTCAGAAAAAAATAAGCATGGATTCTACTTTTGTATTTATTGGCTGCCTAACGTGACTATATCTAGCCAATCACTTCCTCTGTTTTTTGCAAAGGTCCAAATTGCTACTTCAAGAAGTTGTAGGTAAAAAAATGACGGTACTCAGGAGACTTTCTCCCTCCTTCCTATGAACTTTCAAAAAATAAATCTTGAAAGCAGAAGGAAAAGGAAACTACACACCCTCAAATCTCCAAAACAAACTGTAAAGATAAAAAGGACAATAATCTTGGGGCTGGCAGGTAGTGTGGTAGTTAGGTGCTGAACTCACATACGGCTGACCATGGTTCCAGTCCTGAACCTGGCAGCTTGCTTTCTCATCTTTCCTCTCTCTAGTCAAATTAAAAAGTAATAAACAAAATAATACTTAAAAAAGTCAATAACCAGGTCAATAACCAGTTTTAAATGAGGAATGAGTATAAATAATTATAAAACAAAAAAGATGCAAAAATATCTGGCTTTATATGCTAGAGTATTTAATTTACTTATTTATTTTTTAGATTTTTGCTATAGGATACATGCGCTCACCAGAGAAATAGGGAAAGTGATAACTCACACCCTGGGGAAGTGGCCACACCACAATCTCTTCTCCTCCATTCTCCTCTTGAAATTCTGGAAACACACATACATGCCCAATGTGATTTTCAGGTGGCTGGGTCCAGGACATGACCCGTAGAGTCAGCCATGTGGGATCCAGCACCTTAATCACACACCATTTGCTGGCCCTGTGCTAGAGTATTAGTTAGACTACACTCAATGAAGACATTACTGACAGTTGTTAAAAGTATGTACTTACCCATCTAATATCAGGCTTTCATAGGCAGCTTTTTTGTCACACACAGGACAAATCCAAGTGGGCTTCTTTTCATTCATTTGTAGATAAAGGGCAGCATCAAAACACTGCAAATGTGTACAAGTCACTGCTCGGCATGGGATTGTCAGCCTCATTTTTCCTAACTACAGGACAGGGAACACAACATGGAAAACTAGTTCAGAAAGGAAAACAAAGTCTCTAAAAGATCCCAGTCAGTCATAAAAGTCTAAAGAAGCTATATAAGAAAATGGTCAAAATGAAAAACCTTCAAAACAGAATTTATTCCCATCACTATTACTATATATTCTATTTTTATTCACAAATTGTTCTGTGATTTTCAAAAGACCATTTTACTTTTTCAAAATAGGTAACACGTAAATCCACAGATAGGAAAAAATACATACATAATGAAAACCAGACTCTACCTCACCTGGTCCCCAGTTTCTCATTTTAAAGAAAACCACTGTTAACTATTTCTTACATGTCCTTTTACAGTCTATGAATGGATTGTATACTTGAACAAAGTATTTTCTCACTAATGGTGGCACACATACACAATTTTGTACGTTCCTTCTATCACAGACATGGTTACTACTGTACACTTATCAGTGCATAAAAAGCTATCATCTATGAAAATACTCTTTATTAAACTACAATAGTCCACTGGTCATGGGCATTTAAATTGTTTACAATTTTTATCACAGTAAACAACGGTGTAATAAATATTTACAGGATTATTCCAATTCACAGAAGTGATTTTTTTGTATCAAAGAAAAAGAGAATTTGGGGACCAGCAGATGGTGTGGTGGATAAGGCGCTGGACACTCTCACATGGCCGACTACGGTTCAAGTACTGGACGTGGTGGCTTGCTTCTTCTC